ATTCAATGATCAATTATGACAGTAGGAGAACCTGTATTCTTTTTGATGTCAGAGATATGTTCGTGTAGTCTCGTGCTCAATTTTCTCTTTGTCTGATCAACATAACTCGCCTCACAATCATCACATGAGATCTTGTAAACAACATTCTGACTGGATAGGAGGCTAAGTTCGTCCTTTCCTCTCTTTATGAAGCTTTTTAACGTGTTGGGAATAGAAAAGGCCAATTTACAATGAAACATACTAGAGATTGGAAGGAAACTTTCGGAAATGGATTTAACATAAGGAATCGTAAAATATTTGTCTTTATTGTGTGAATAGTATGTATCTTTGTTATATTTATGAAACTTTAATCTGCGTTCTATTGTAGAGAAAATAAAGGGAAGAGGATAACAATTATTTAAGAAAATATGAATAGCATCTATCAAATTTTTTTGTTGGAATGTGGATGTGATAATAATATAATTTTGTCAATAAAACTGATGATGGTACCTTTTTTATGGCACAGAAGATGATTTGAATGGAAACCTTTAAGGAACCTTCCAGAAAATGTCTTTTTATGGTAAACGTCAAATATAATTTTCTGGTTATCTATAATCAGTATTGTATCGAGAAAACTCAATCTGCCATCTGCACCAACCTCCAAGGTAAACTGTAATCTCGTGTGTAAGGAATTAAAAATGTTCAAAGTGTCATTGACAATGTCAGATGGAAGCGCGAGCAAAATATCATCAACATATCTAAAATAGAACAAGGGTTGTGTTGACAGTTTTTCTAGTGCTTCTTTTTCTAAATCCTGCATTACAATATCCGCGATTATTGAAGATAAAGGTGAGCCCATTGGAGTGCCGAATACCTGTCTGTAAGTTTTATTGTTAAAAGTAAAAAAGGTAGAATTTAAAATGAATCTGACAGCAATAATGAACTCATTTTTTGATATGTTTGTCTTCACCGAGATGTAAACCCATCTCCTGTCGATGCTATTTAATGCTAGTTCCACAGGAATGTTATTATAGTAAAAAGGGATATTACATCCAACGAAGCTAAAACATAATTAGGATCAAACACAGAACTATTTAATTGCTCAACTAAATGGAAACTGTCTTTAATGTAGCTGGGAGCTTTTGGAATACTGTCACTAATTAAATTGTGTAAAAAGAGTGAAAAGTTATATAATGGACTGTTTATACAAGAAACAATCACTCTCAATGGGTAACCTTCCTTATGTATCTTAGTTAGGCCGTAAGCCCTAAGTATAACACCGTCAGATGTAAGCAGTCTACGGTATGTTAGCTCGTCAATGAATTGATCACGCCTCCATCTTACTAAAAAAGCGCATAAGTCTCGTGTTAATTTCTTACTAGGATTTTTATCAACTAAGGCGTAAGTACTCGTGTCCGAGAGAATCTCCTCCATCCTCGACACGTAGGCGTCTTTGTCTAGAGCAACAGTGACGTTACCCTTATCGGCGTTAGTAAGTAGTATATTAGGGTGGTCATTGATAAACCTCTTGATAATGCGCAACCAGTTCAAAATTAATTTGTCGGTGGATGTAGGAGAAGGAAAATTATTTTGGAATCTATTAAGGATTGGAAGGGAATTATGTTTGACAAAATTAATAATTAATGTTATTGGGACGACCAGTGATATTATTTTCTATATATTTAATAAATTCGATTAATTACTGTCTTTGTTGTATTTGTTAATAGGAAGAATTTTTCGCCAAGTTGCAAGAGGTAACGAACCTCTAAGGGAACGTCAATGTCGCTCAAATTGACAAACCATTTTTCCCGTAACGAGTCTAAAGGAGAAGCCCCATCAAAACCGTCGGGAGTCAAGTTGAATACTAGGAGGATAATTAGTGTCTTTGGAAACATCGTAAGACTACTGTCATAACTGATCATCGAATCAATTTTGACCATAATTTCAAATGGAATGATGTGAGAATTTTGGACTGCGAATCTTCTTACAATAAGAGATTGGTGTCTGAAATGATTCATATTAAAAGACAGAAACAAGGCCTTAATAGACAAAATGATACCGAATCTTTATCCGATACTTATTCACAGATCATTCAATCTCTTTCTCCTTCTTGACTGCTTTCCCTTCCCTATCCTTCTCTTCTCTCCCTACTTTCTCTTCCTTCCACTTTATTCTTTCCTTCTTATTATTTTTTTCCCCCTTCCCTTTCTAGTTTTCCATTTCAACCTTCTTGTCTTTATATGTCGTACTTTATATCTTAGCTTCTTAGAGAGACGATCAATTTCGATTCCAATCGCATTGCCTAATCGATACAAGTACATCATTTCGACACACACATAAGGTATTTATTATGAATTTATTTGTTCTAAACTCATCATTCATATACAATGCATGTTGGCAATTTACTCTGTCAACTATAATCGTTTGTTTGATTTCCTCTCAATTTGGAGCTTTATAGTTAATTTCCGAATGCGAATTTTACTTAATTTCTTATGTTTTTATCTACGTTATAACTCTATTGTTGTTAATTACCGTTGTTAATTTATTTGTCACACTAATTTATTTGTCACATTGAAAATGATCCAACTAGGATCGAAACATTTGTTTTGTTCACCTTCTGATTGTCAAATTATATTTTACGTTTTTAATTTATGACATAGTTTTATTTCAAAAAAATTTTTTTAACTTACAGTTTGTCAATTTATGTTTTAGGCTCGTAGCCCTTTTTCCTCTTTACTTATTTTGATTTATTGAGCCTTATTATTTTTCTAATGCAATACTTAGTTTCTGAAAAATAAGGAGGAAATGCTTTTGGAGACCTATATCAATATCGGTGACTTTCCTCTAACAACTTTAATTTAAATAATTCAACTTCTTTCTCTTAACAATTTCGAGACAATTATTAATATTGCACATTTCAAAGGACTTTTTTTAAAAATCCAACTCCACAGTTTTCTTTGACATTTAACAATTAATTTAAAAAAAAATTCGTCTCGATCGATTAAGAATAAAGATCTATAGCGATTTTTGAACAGTAAATTCCCATTTTTCACTGTGTGTCGATCAAACGCCACAACTCAAGCGATGATTATCCTCATGTATCCCCCTCTACATGACGTAGTGTGTTATAAACGTCTGTGAATCGGCACCTATGCAGATAGCGAAGCAGCATGGCCTTCTGCAATTCTTTTTATTTTTTCTTGATCTTTTTCTTTCGAGACACGTTATTTCGTGCGACTTCAATTTGAATTAATTTTTTCGAAATAATTGATATTATGGCGACGATCAATTCTAAAAAAGCTGCTTAAGTGTTGTTGCTTTAATTAAAGATGGCAGAAATTAAAGGTATGTAACTGAGATACTCGATTTGTCAGTGTCAACGTACTTATTTCAGGTTCGTAGATACCAATTCTTTTCAGAGGAGGCCTAGTTCGGGATGCCCTCGCTGTTCCAACAATAATGATAACAGATTGTTTTAAATTCTTTAAGAAATAGACATCGAATAGCTGTTCAAATTTGAAACAATTTAAAAAACGTTCGTAACACCAATGTATCCGTTGACACCATTTAAAGAAAATTAGTAGAACAAAATCTGTTTTCGCGCAAGCCTGCGGCTGTACTTTTGCTTCAACATTGTCATCGTGTAGCCCGTCTCAATTTTGCAGTAGAGTGTAGAGACTGGACACGTAAACTGGAGTTAGCCCAAAGTTCTTTCTAGCAATCTCGATTTCCTCTCTCCAGATGGACGAGAATGAGTTCAGAGAAGAACGACTTGCAAATTGTACTTTAAGTAAAGGCATAGTTATAATGAAAGCTCTGTAATAGTTTGGGCAAGCATTTCTGCAAATGCTCACATCTATACTTCTTCAACAACAATATGAACGCAGATGTATACGTGGAAAACGTACTCATTCAATATGTTGTTCCGTATTAACCCCTTATCAGATAGAATTTCTTGTTTATGTGAAATAATGTTTGACCACATATTGCAAGAAGAGTACTTGATTTTCTCAATGAAGTTGCCATAAATTGACTCAATTGGCCAGTAAATAGTCCAAACTTAAACTCCATTGAATACTTATGAGACAATCTTGCCAGTAAAGTGCGAAATCACGCACGTACGCCACATATGCGCACATGTACACACATTCCCGCATACACTCGCGCGCGCACATGCACACATGTACACACGCATACACACACATTCACATACACACTCAAACGTGCACGTATGTACGTGTACACACACGCGCACGTGCGCACACACCCGACACAGAGGATGAGATTCTCGTCACGACCACGTTGTTGATCTCAGATGACGCTAAGAACAGGACACATGCATGCATATGACATACGCATGCACACGCACATGCACACGCACGCACGCACGCACACACACACACACGCACGCACGCACGCACACCACCACACATTACGCACACGCACACACCACACACCACACACACGCACACACCACACACCACACACACGCACACACACACGCACAAAATGAGGTTCAATTCCGATCAATCAAACTCTATGCAGTGCCTATTGGAATAAATTACAACCATAACTTGAACTAATGACAGCAGTACCATAAATTGATATAACTCAGCAAGAAATGATTGTATCGAACTCCGTAAAAAAGCATTTTAAATGTAAAATTCCATACCTTCATATTCATTTTGTCCTATTAGCCTGTGACGCCATGTATCGTTCTAATTCAGGCCATGTATCGTTGCAATTTCAGACCTTTATTATCAATTTTGCAATTTTTTTCTTCTCACTTTGCCACTTCGAAAAAATTGGCCCAGTACAATTCTCATTCAAATATCCTTAAAGTGAACACTGCAAACTTCATTTTACATTTTTAAATATATTTTTGTCTTCATTGTTTATCAAGTTATGATCTTTTGAAATTTGATAAATTTTTCCTAAATTTTCAGTGTATCACTTTCTGCAGATGAGTATATATTCGCAACCAGCTTGTATGTAATCCGCTTGTAATCGCCAAAATATTATATATTCACAACCTGCTTGTATGGGCCCCGTCTGCACCCATCTGTACATATTTGCGACTCATTCACAATCGGGATCAGCTTGTACCGTACAAAACCTCTTGTATAATAACGATCCACACATAATCTTATTGTGCATATCCTTGGTCGTTTATTCATAACCGCCGTGCACATTTAAGCCCATATAAGACCATCAACTCTGTCGATCAACTCGATTCTAACTGATCCTCAGCGGACTAATCATAGTGAGACACCGATTGACTGAGTCAACCAACTCGCGTTTAGATTTGAGTTTATTTTTCGAGTCAATATCATCAGCGACTCAGAATTCCAATCAGAATCAGAATCAGTAAGAAATATAAGATTTAATCACTCAACGATTAACGGTAGATAGATTTTCTTCCTAACAACCATTGTCAATATAAAGAGTTCTGAATAAAGACACTCTTTGTAAAACGATTTAGCGATTATATAAGAAAAAATAGTTCGTAAATATCCCATGAGAGTTGGGAAAGATGGCATTAAAAAAAACATTCGAATTCAATTCGGAAATATTATTAATAAATAAAGTTCGAGAATGATCTTATTTCTGCGATTCTGTCAGCCAGAATATCTGAAATTTAGCCAGTATTACATCTCGATTTTTTTCAACATAGATATTATAATTCATCCAAGATTTGTGATTCTTTTACATTTTATTAATTTTACTCTTTTATATAGTTGAATCAGTCGGCAAACATCAACAAATATGATCGATCAACTGGAATCGGTACTGTAGTCGAGCCTGCAGAATCGGTAATCTGATACAGCCTTTACGCATATTCACGCACTGCGATCCGCGCAACTCAACTGGCGGCAGATAGATTTCCTTTCTAACAACTATTGTCAACATAGAAAGTTTTGTAAATAAAGATACTCTTTGTAAAACGATTTGTCGGTGCCTCACGCTTTTCTCGAACCTTGGCTCCGGCGAGCAAAGCGTACCGTCGCAGTTTCAAAATTTCTTATTATCATAGACGAGAGTGAAGTAATGCGTATTACATGATGTAAGTAAACGAAATTTCGTCAAACACAATATAATTTAATATGTTTGAAGATATTTAATTTGAATACTTACCTTAGATACATCAAAAGGTTTAGTAACTATGTTAGATGACATATCAGCAACAAGTGGTATGCCATTTGTTTCCGGGATAAAATCAAATTCAATTCCTGGAAACATACATATTTTAGTACACATATATCTGTACATAATCCCTAACAAAAATAAAGATCGGAATGTAAGTCAAATATAAAGATAAAATGACAAAAGCATACAATGGATCCTCTAAAAACATAAATTGTAACAGCGAAACAGAAAAAAAAGCCTAAGAGATCACTTTTATAGCTCACTAAAATTCACTTCTTTTATTTTTCATCAATTTATGCTTTCTAAAAGTTTCATTCATACTTCTATTACTTTCCTTTTACAATCAACTTATGCCTCATTTTTTTTTATTTTTGCAAACAAGATTAAAACAATACAATAAAATAATTCAAAATGTTTTTGTTTACCATGCACAGTTTCATTAGCGCAATAATAAACATATGATGCATTCGCGTTTAAGTTCCAAGTGGAGGGATGCGGAATTTCTATGTATTTTGTCATATCAGACAAAACCAAGTTCACTTTTCCATATTTCGCCGCTTCTTTTGCCGCTTTTGCTGACCATGAGCCTAAATAAACGCAATTTAAATTACGAAATTTTTTTATCCTATTTTATTAAAGATATAAAAATTACGATTTTTCTCACCAGTTACTATATAATCCGCAGATCCTGTATTCATAATATTAAGAGGAATAGCTGCAAAAATGGCAGTACCGCCTCCTTGCATGAACAGGATTTTATAGTTGTCAGGAATATTGCTTTAAAGAACAAAAATCATATGTAACAATTAATAATTTACGAGAAGCATTTATAAACAGAGTATACAATCTCATTTTGTTTTAAACAATCTCGAAAAATATATAAAATACGAAAAAATATTTTTAAAAAAAATTGTGTGGCGGAGCGCAAATAATGATAAAATCAGTTGTCAAAAAATCTTAATACTTTAAGATCACATAAAAATTATTGTTACTTCTTAAAAATGGAATTATATAATTTTTTATGTAACATATTTCCTTTAATTTATTCGTATAAAAGTATTGAGATTGTGCGAGAGCGCGCCGCGCGGAAAGATTCGAGTGAGAGAACGGCACAAGGTTGATGTGATGCACGACAGTGAAAAGAACTCCGTTTCGTTTAATTTAACAAAAGAATTTTCTTTAATATAATCAGTTACAGAGTCAAAAAATATAATTAATTAAATATTAGATTAACAAAATATCAAATGCGGTCACCTTTTCCAAAATTGTATTTGGAATCGCGGTGATGGAAAATCTCGGCGATTTTCTCGGAAAGATTCGTTTTATCGCGATTTCACTAAGCGGTTAGCACGGCGATTTTACGAAGCGGTATAGTAGCGAGACTATGATTCTAAGAACTCGAAGAACTTTTAGAAGTAAGAACTCTAAGAAGTCTAAGAATTCTAAGCGGTGTAAACGGTATAAGCGGTGTAAACTATTTAAGCAATCTGCCCCGCGGACCGGCGAGATCGAAGCATTTATTGCTTCCGGTCCGGGCTTTCTTCTTGGGAGAAATCCAATTAAATTTTGCCACCATCGTAATTATCACGTGACATTGGTTGTACAAAATTGATTGGCGCTTTCGATTCTTTTCTAGCGACGTTCAACGTAACAGTCATGCGCGACAGAAAATCCGTACGCGGGATTGGTGACAGCGCGTGACGTATTCGTCGGAGCGCGGCGCTCGCGTGCGCGAATTGAATTGTTCTAAAACTTTCGATGGTCCGTTGCCGGTGCCTGTTTGCGTGAACCGAATTGTTTTGAAAAGACTAAAGAACAATGAATCCCTGACTTTGACGAAGCTTAATGTCAGGCTCGAGATGAAATCACGAGCTCGCCTTGTGCGTACGTTCAATAACAATTACTGTCGGTCGACCGAAGGAATTCTTACCCTTTTTTTTTTTGAATTACCGATCTCAAACAGAGATAGAAATATTGAAAAATCTAAATAATTTCCGAATTATTTTATACTTATTCTGTAACATGTTAAATAAAATATAAAATATCTCGATACATTTTTTTATCATTGTATCTTAATAATTCTATGCCCAGAATAATGAAATGAATCATCAATTGGTATAAAAAACGACACATAGTTGCTTATTAAGAAAATTACGCATTTTGCAAAATGTAATTATATACATATTTTTAAAGCATATGCATTTTTACAATTGATTTTGTGATTATTCCATGCATAAAAATATTAAGATTGTTAAAAAATTAATAATTCACGGGATATTCTAAATTTCATATTAATATATGATAGAATAAAGTACAAAATAATCATAAAATTATTTTGATTTTTCCATATCTCTACCTTAATGCTTTTATATGTAGAAAAAGTTAGAAGAATTATTATATTATACAATACGTATTGTTACGTCCAATGGATTCCTCAATTTTTTTTTTATTTCGTGAACGTTCGACAAAATAATCAGGTTAGGATAAAGCATAAATAAAAATTCAACGGTCACTGATAGGTGAACGTAACAATATTTAAAGAACGTGTTGTTAGAAACCTTCGCAGCGATATTGGAAAAATAAGCAAAAACATAAATACTCAGAATCACCTGATCTACGGTAAAAAAATTTATGATAAAGATTACAAACCATGTAGAGAAAATACTGTTTAAACACGATCGATATTAATAAATACAGAATATTGAAAGGAATCGTGGGTAGCAAAAGAGAGGATAGTGGGTAGAGATCTGCGGATGACGGTAGAGGATGAGAGTAGAAGTTGAGAACAGGAAGAGAAGAAAAGAAGTCAGTTGGGACTTAAACCACGCTTAATACAGACGACTAAGCAACTAGGAGGTTGGAATAATTGGAATAGAGACTGCGCTTAATTGGAATTAAAGACAAGGAATTAAATGTTGAATCCTGGAATCTAATGATACTACAGATAGATGGAGAATGATTCATGCCAAAGATGAACTTCGTCATCTGCAAGCCCAGCCAATAAATATTAAAGACTATTAATTTGCATTCGCATGTACGCACGCACGCACGCACGCACGCACGCACGCACGCACGCACGCATGCACGTAAGAAATAAAATAACAAAAAAATTTCAGTGAAGAATATAAACAAACCCATTTCAAAAATTTCAATTACATTATGTTCAGTTACATTAAAACCAGTAATGAATTAATCAATAAAATGAACGGATTATTAATAGACCCTAACTATAAAATTGTTTCTTTCGATATTATTTCCATGTATACAAATATTCTAACAAATTCAATTATAAAAAGCATAGAACTACGATGAAACTCTATTCGTAATAATGCTGAAATGTCGAAAACTAATTTTATAAAAGCAGTTAAAATTATATTAAATTCAACCATTTTTATATTCGACAATAAAATATTCAAACAAGTTTCCCATGTACAGTTTCAATTCCTATACCTATACTAATCAACATCGTATTATACGACTTAAAAACGATTTCTTCGCCACAGTCATTAATTTCATACCGTTTTATTTTATCGTTACATAGATGACATCATACTCTCAGCGCCACAAGACAAGATCGAATCGATACTTAATGAATTTAATTCTTATCACGAGAGAATTAAATTTATTGTAAAATATGATGATAAATGTGATATTAGTTTTCTAAATGTGAGATTAATGATAGAGGAGAGAAAGATAATCTTTGATATTTTCAAAAAACCTATGAACTTCGGAAGACTTCCTTAACTTTAATTCAAACTCTATCGAGCGTAAGAAATGTGTAATTATTGGATAATTTAACCGAATATTTTTCCTCTCTTATTCTAAATTTCATCAAATAAACATCCATTCTATGATTCAAATAAACATTAAGGTAATACTCCAGATTGAAAGATCTTTTCCTCTAATGATCTTGACTTTGACATATGTTGTCAAGATCATTACTCTGAATAATCTCCAACAAGTTTTAGCCATGGGGGGGGGACAGGGTTTCTGGAATATTACCTTCATTAATATAGATATTTGATAGAGATGATATTCTTTACAACCAGTAATAGAATTAAAGCACTTTCTCAAAGATCTTTTTCCGATGAACAAAATGATAGCAATAAAAATAACTCTCATGATCACGACATAAAAAAGTATTGTATTTCATAATACTTTACTTTAGTGTATCAAAAAAATGTAAAACTGTCTCCAACAAAAATCGGCTTCAAAATTGCTTATAAACTGAATAACTGCTTAAACAGATTTATAGAAATGGGTAAAAACGCACTTGAAAAAGATGAACATATAAATGTAATCTATGATCGGTATTCATAGTCTGTTTTTATATTCAAGATCATCTTAGTATTGTCTTAAGATGTTCTCTAGATTCATAGTCAAAAAATAAGACAATACTTGAATAAAATCTCAAGTTAAAACTTATCAAAGATCTTATTTCAAAACGTTTTGAACGGTCTTGACATGATTCATACCCAGATAGCCAGCCGTGTAAATGTCACAGCTGAATAAACTGTGATTTTTATCGTTTAAATATTGTACAAGTATCGTGCAAGTCAATGTCGTCAGATTTTAATTGAGTTTAAAATTATATTAGGTGTTGGAATTAATTCGTAGCGTTTTTAATGAAAGAATGTTATTTATTTCACATGAGCATTAAAAAATACATTAATGAAAGTACTTCCCATCACTTGTAAAACGCTACGAATTAATTCCAACACCTAATATTATAGTACTAGCATTAAAACAAAACTCCGTGTTATAGCTTTGTAAACGATACTGTTACACGGTCATGTATTAGGTTTTGTATCGAATTCTTGTGCTTGTTTTCGCACGTAGATTTCTCTCGTGCGCGATCGCATTAACAATAGAATAAAACTGCTATAACTTTGGAATTGCACGGTACTTTTATGCGTGACTAGTTTCGTGCAAAAATATCCAATATATCCAATTTTTAAGCAGTGCACTAGAGACACAATGAAGTTCAATTACTTATGTTTAAAAAACTACATCGAACGAATAAAGGCACAGTATAATGAGAAATTCTCAGCGAAAAATTTTTATCCTTTTTTTTTTTTAATAAAAAGACTGCATTCTTCTAGATCATTCAGATTAGCATTTGAAAGATAGAAGGATTCTTTATATGAAAATAAATAACAATAAACAAAGGACAAAGTAAGACATTAACTTTTCGCAATGGTCGATGTACAAAAAAGTTACTCAAAATACCCGCATATTCATTACAATACAAGCCTTATGAGTCTCCATGTAGAAAATGACAGTGCTCGCACACGATTGAATAGTCGAATGTCAATGTCTCTCGGAGTAAGATCGATAAGGCCATGTGTAACATAAAATAGTTGAAATTCGTCGATATAAATACAAAAATTATAGTCCAAATAATAAAACAACAAAAATAGCGTCAAAATGCAAAATAATTAAGCCATATATAACATGTACATCAACTATTGCGAAAAATTAATGTCTGAAAAAGGCTCAAGTAGCCAAACTTGTTGTAATGGAACCTGACATTAAATTTTCTAATCAATTATGTTTTATATTTATAGAACTATACGTTACATTTATTTGATTGTCGACTCTTATTTTGCCCTTTGTTTATTGTTATTTATTTTCATTCAATTAGACTTTTAGAGTCAACAAATTCAACATCTAAAAGTCTAATCGGATGATCAAGAAGAATACACCAATAATAACAGCAAGCGCTCATCCAACTGTTGAGTCTACTGAACGCAGTCAATGATGATGATGATGCTTGA